CCTCAGATTCAAACCGGATCACTGTGTCTAGTCTGCCTGTCTGTCAAGCTCACACTGCATGACAATGAATGACTAATTAGACCCCACGTTAGCTCTAAATCCAGTTGGGTTTACAGCTAAACTCTTTTTTTTTTTTTTGTTACTGTTATGCGTGTTATGTTACTGGTGAAGTTTTGACTCAAGGTTGGGGTGAAAATAGATTTTGAAGCGACAGCTGTGATGAAGGCAACCCACACTCACCCTCTCTTTAAAGCTACTGTTCTCATGTTGCTTGTTTGAATAGGGGTTGCCAGATTCAAATCAATAAATCCTGCTCACATTACAACTTTAAAGATTGTCTTAAAGGTTCTAAGGTGAAAATCTTTTTCAGGATAGAAAAGGAATAGTTCACCCCAGAGTTTAAGTTCTGCCATTTTCTTGTTCAAAACATATTTGAGTTTCTTTTTTGTGTTGAACACGAAAGAAGATATTTTGAAGAATGCTCGTAGTTGGAACCCATTGACTTTCATAGCATCTTTTTTCCTACTATGAAAGTCGATGGATATCAGCAATCAGAATTCTTCAATATAGTCTTCTTTTGCATATAAAAGAACACTGAAAAAATGATTCAGAAATGATTCCTTGGATTTACTATTTTTTTTTACGTTAAGTGGCTGTAAACAATTTATTTGGGCTGAATTTAAACAAACAAATTAAGTTTGATTTATAATTAAGTCTAAATTGAACACAAATAAATTATTTGCAACAGTTTTGCAGACATCATTTTTTTTTCATTGAAGAAAGAAAGTCTTAACTCATTTAAAACAGTTCAAAGAAGAATAAACGATAAAGTAAGTTTCATTTTTGGTTGAACTATCCATTTAAGGTCAAAGAGAGATGGTCTTGTGGTCTGCCAAACCAACTGATTTAGATGGTCAGCAAATAGTTTTTTTTTTTAAATCTGAATGCTGTCTCGTAACCCAGCCTGGCCAGTTTAAGTCATTTATGCTTTATGTATTATGTTCTAATTTAGTTCTAGACAATGTAGAACACACACACACCCTTTAAAGCCTGTGGTATTCACTCCATGAACGACACGAAGGCCGAACTTTATGACAACAGGTGCGCCTGCTATATCCAGACCCAGAACAAAAGGACAATGACAGGCAATAGATAGAAATACTTTGTGTAACGGGGTGACTGTGATGCACAGTCTTAGTTTAGCACGTCAAAGAGAGAGTCCAGTTACACAATGGAATTTAACAATGAAGTGATTTGAAATAAATCCCTGAAGAAAAAATGGAAAAAGATAAAGGCTATTGTTTTTCGAAAAAAAAAAAAAAACACCAAAATGTGACTATCTAAGAAATTCAACACTCACATAAGGGTTTAAACTTCAAGCAAGTGTCTGTTCATGTCTGGAATGTTCTTTCTTGCTGCGTTCCTCTCACAAACACTGATTTACAGTCCTGCTTCTACATCAGCAGTCTCAAGGTAGCAATTTTCTCACAGAGGTCTGCAGGCAATCACCCACGCTTTTGCCACCTCTTGTAAGTTGCAGCCTTTTAAACTATATTTAATCAATGTACATTAATGTACAGAGCAATCCAAAAATGTTCGAGCAGTGAAATTGAATTATCAACAGAAATTACTTACAAAGTTTTTTTTTAGTTCAAATCATTTGTAAAAGTCGGATATTCTTTGGCCGTATCAACAGCATGCAGCCCTTTCAGTGTGATCTGATTGTGAAAGAATTATTCTCACAATCAATTGAGCACGTGTCTTGAAAAGTGAGGCCAGATAACATTAATTCAATAATAAACAATTTGATTCAACATGATGACTCAGTTGGCATTTCTGCGTGGATGCTGGCAAAATATGCGTCTGACCAGTGAGCGTGAATGCTAACATGCTAAAATTCTAACATGACTAAGAAGTGTTTTATAAGGAAAAGCTCATTATATATGTTAGCATTTTAGCATGTTAGCATTCTTGCTAACTGGTCAGGCACATATGTCGTGGCATCTGTACTTGCTGGATGCATAATGGTTATGAGAGTCGCATATTTTGCTTTAAAATGAAAATGAACTAGTGTTAACGCAGCTTCAGGTTTTAGACCCCAGATTCAAAAGATGCTAGCCGGACACATTTTAGCTTTACTTTTCTACTCTGAAAGGAAGTTTAAAATTGTCGTCCATCTTTTTTTGCACAGTCTATCCTCACAAATAGTTTTTTTTTTCAGTGAATTAACAAAATAAAGGACAACTATTTTGTAGATTTCTGAACGAATGACTCAAATAAGTTGGTTCTGTTTTATAATTCAAACATATACAAAAACTAACTGTGGCTGCATCTGAAATCACATACTTCCATACTATATAGTATGTTAAAAACAGAATGCGATCCGAGTAGTATGTCCAAAGTCACCTACTACTTTTGGCAAGACTCTAAAGTGTGCATCTGATGGACGCTATGCTATCACATTATGCCATGCGAGCGAATTCATCAATGGGAGTGAAGTGACACAGTACATACTTTTATAACAGTCATGTAGTAAATTCAAATGTAGTACATACTCGAATAGTAGGCGATTTCAGACACAGCCTCAGATTTGAAAGTGTGTTTGCATTCAAAATATTCATTTATTCATTTTCTTATCGGCTCAGTCCCTTTATTAATCTGGGGTCGCCACAGCGGAATGAACCGCCAACTTATCCAGCTTGTTTTTACGCAGCGGATGCCCTTCCAGCCGCAACCCATCTCAGGGAAACATCCACACACACACACTCATACACTACGGACAATTTAGCCTACCCAATTCACCTGTACCGTATGTCTTTGGACTTTGGGAGAAACCGGAGCACCCGGAGGAAACCCACGCGAATGCAGGGAGAACATGCAAACTCCACACAGAAACGCCAACTGAGCCGAGGTTCGAACCAGCGACCTTCTTGCTGTGAGGCGACAGCACTACCTACTGCGCCACTGCATCGCCCATTCAAAATATTTAAATTAAAAAAATTTATTTAGTAGCGCCACAACATTGTGACTGAATCTACTGTACAAAGTATAAAACACACTACAAGCATATTTTAATTCCTAAATTATGGTTATTTTGATTCTGCCCTTTTTATGTAACTGATAACATGCAGTATAGTAGGATTCTAAATAACCGACTCTATTTTAGTGAATCAAACATAGACAACTGAACTTACACTGACTTATATGGTTACTGTCGGGCTGATTGCTTAACATATAGCACAACCAGTGTAGCACATAGCTATGGTTCTAGAATGAATGATTGTAATGTGTTGATAATTTGTATTAAATCAAACACAAATAACTGTGATCATTGAATTGCTTGTCACTGCGCAGGTAGCAAAGAATTCTGGCCCAGATTTGGCATAAAGCTGGGACAGCAGGTATTCATCAGGCACTGGCAGACAGCATGTGAGCCAAACATGGCCCAGGCTTGGCAGAGGTGGCACCGACTTAAAGGTGGCACACAAGACTTGGGCCAGATATCAAATTCATTAATGGCACAGATGTTAAAATCTATATGTGGACCAAGTAAGTCTGTCCTATCTTGTCCCACTTTTAAAATACAATTAAATTATTTATAAAGTAAAGAAAAAAATCTACCAATCAGGTTGTTTCGAGAAAAAGTACGCCCATAGTGCACCTAAACACATATTGCAAACAGACTTGGCCCAAATGTGGCCTTATTAAGGCACTGCTGGCGTGTTGCCGGCACTAGCATGCATAATGTCAGCTGAATGTGGGCCATGCATGACGGCAACCTACATTTGGGCCAGTTGTGGATGGGAGGTGAGTGGCCAGATCAGTGTAGGGATTGTTCACATTGTTTAGGTAACATTAGGCTGGGTTATGGCTCAGATTTTGGGATTCTGGTTAAAGTATAAACTTATAGGAGTAACCTGTTTTGGCCCAGTTCAGGGCTGGTTAAGGGTGATAAATTGGCTGAGATTCGGGCCAGTTATGGCCCATGTGTGGCCCTTGTCTTTAATCCAGTTATTGGCCACTTCAGGACCGTCATAGTTTGCAGTACTTGGGCTGAGCGAAAAGGTATTGTGTGGCCCGGAGCTGGCCAGAAAACATTTGCTAAGGGGGAAGCGAAATGCTTCATGGGTTTATCAAATTTATTGCAGTCATGACACACTAACATATCTGGCCCAGTTCAGGCCCAGTTATGGGTTATTACCTTGGTTGGACTTGGCCCAGATATAGTCCAATTTTGGCCCTTGTATATAAGCCAGACTTGGTCCAATCATGTACAGTAATTCACTGCGGCATGTGGGCCAAGCAAGAGCTGATTGCATGGGCCAGAAAAAAATGTGCTATATGCGGGTGGTTGTTTGTATGATATTGTTTCATTAAAGACTTATTATGTGTTAGGTCAGTAGCATTCTAAAACTTCATTAATAAAATATATATATGATTGAAAATATATGTTTATATGTGCAATAAAATATGTTTGTTACACTCAAGAAAACAAATTTTGCTACTTGTTCAAACTACTTATTTAAAATAAACTGAATCAACACAATTCTAGTGTTTTTTGGGGGAACAGCTTAATTGTTTATGTTCAATCTACTTAAATGTGTAATCAGTTGTGTTTGAATTGTGTGGAAGAGCATTTTTTGCATAGTAGTTATATATAGGCTATATTTATGGTAATAATCGGACTACATTTATGCTGCTTAAGATTGAAATGCATTGACGACAACATGAACATATTTAAAGGTTAGTTAGTTTGGCTTGCTGTCATCACATTCAAAAAAAGGAGGGGTAGCAGCAGTGTCAGCTGTGAAGGAGTGAATGGAGAGAATGAGAGGAATGAAGGGGTGGAGCCAACAAGAATCCCGGGATGAAGTTTGAAGAGTTGTATTTGTGTGTGTGTGTGTGTGTGTGTGTGTGTGTGTGTGTGTGTGTGTGTGTGTGTGTGTGTGTGTGTGTGTGTGTGTGTGTGATTTGTTGCTTTGAGATCGTCAATCACTCACATCCGCAGCCTTCTTCTCAGATATCTCCAGTTTCTCCTGGGCGTCCTTCAGGGCCTCTGAGTATTTATCCAACTCATCTTCAGTTCCCTTCAGCTTCTTCTGCATCTGAATCAGCTCATCCTCATGCTGGGAGAAGACAGAAGGGATATTTGACAGTGGTTGTGATTGAAAGAGTGGGGGAGTGAAGTATTATGGGTATAAAAACACCCACTAAAACACGTCTTCACCAATGCACTCACACACCCATCACCTCTAGCTCAAATTGACACAAAGTGACACTTTCCAGTGTATTTCTGCCCACCTTCTTTCCTTGTGATGAGTTAAGATGAGAAATGTCCAAATGTGAAAACTCTCAGAGGCACCTCAAACCTTTCACACATCCTCAGAATTACCCACAAGCCCCTTCTCCATCTCTTGCTAAGACTCTGTTTATCTGCCCTGCATTCTTCAAGTGGCAGATCACAGCCTTGCAACTGCTACTTAATGTTTGGATAAGTATCTAAGATTTCACACCGCTTTGCAGTTGGTGCTGTTTTTCCAGTGGGGGTCTTTAGGCAGTTGTGGCTATTAGCCAGGTGCATTGTTTTCGATTTATATAGTGTATAGAGTATATAAATGTAAAGATTATATCAAACATATCGATTTATAATGTCTCAGTTTGTGGATTTTGCTCAACTTTGCCTTATTTTAAGATCTGTTTCGCTCCAGAATTAAACTTTGGCTTTGTGATGTCTATCAAAACTATTTGTTTCAGTGGGCATATCCACACCTGACAATGTTTATTATATATTAAACAATATGGGTTTTTAATAAAATAATGTCAAATAATTAAAGGGAAAGTTGACCCAAAAATTAACATTTGCTCACTATTTACTTTCCCTCAAGTGGTTTCAAATCTTTATGAGTTTCTTTTATCTACAAAAGAAGATATTTTGAAGAATGTTAGAAACCAGTAAGCATCAGAATTCATTCACATTTTTACTACGAAAATTACATGACTTTTCCAGGACTTTGAAGTCAATTCCTTGACCTAATGTTTCATGTAATGTCTACATATACATGATAAATCATAAGAAACGTTTGAATAAAAAAATATATACATATATTTTTTGTTTCAATGAAAAATAGATTGCATGTTTGCATGGTTTTGGCCAAGAAAAGAGGTACAAAAACAACTAACCTCCATTCTAATATACAGATATTTGTCAAACTAATTTTAGACGTTAATAGTTTGTTAAACTAGTAATAGTAGGTAAAACTACTTCTATTATAAAGCCGCAATCACACTGCACTTTTTCGCTCCATAGACATAGGCCTGTGAATGCGGCAGACTAGAAACGCAAGCACATTTTGCATTTCACAGCATTCGAAAGTTCAAGCTCAGATGATTGCGTGAGACCAGTAGAAGATAATTTAGAATAAGAAGTTTAAAATATGGAGCAATCGCTCACTTTTATTAATGTCTAATCATGTTGTTTAACTGCTGTTTCGCTGCGCCGTACGACAGAATTTTGCAAGCACAAGCTCTAATGTGGGCGCAGCTTAAGTCACTTTGGACAAAAATGTCTGCTAAATGACTAAATGTAAATGTAATTTCCACGACTTTTCCTAAACCTTGCGGGTTTTTCTGTTTTTCCAAAACTTTACCAGGCCTGAAAAATGCCATGTCAAAATTCCATAACTTGTTTTAGATTTTCCATGACCGAATGAACCCTGAAGCATTGACAAAAATACCATGGAAATCAATGGTTACTGGTTTCCAACATTTTTAAAAATATTTTTTTATCAATGGAAAAAAGAAAGTTGTTATGTGATAAGTGAAAAGTGAGTAAAATATGCCAAATGTTTTGATTTGGGGTGAACTATCCCTTTAAATATTTGCAGTACCCCAATGAAAAAACATTTTTATACCTTTGTATTGCAATTTAAAAAAAACTTGATTTAAATCACTTTAACTACTGACCTTTTTATCTTCCCTTCACAAACTTGTTGAGTTTATTAACTTTATTGATTAATTATCAATTGTTAATTTTATTGATATTAATCTTAAAATTCATCCCATTAAAAATAACTTATTTCTTTCTTTCTTGCTTATTTTTTCCTTTTCCTTTCCATTTTCACATTTTCCCTATTTTAAGAAAATCCCCCAAAAAATCGCAAAAAAAATTATGTGACAAAAAGTCTTTGTAAAATTGTAATATGTAAAATATATGCAATTTGTAAAATTTAGCATATTTTGAAAGTGGAAATAAAAGGTTAGTTCAACCCAAAATAAAAATGTGTTCATCATTTACTTTTATTGTTTCATACCTTTATGAGTTTCTGTATTTTAAAAGATATTTTTTAAAAAGTTGGAATTAAAAACCTGTAACCATTCCATCGCCATAGTATCTGTTTTTAATATGGAAGTTTATCTTTACGGGTGTTTAACTTTCTTCAAAATATCTTCTTTTGCATTCAACAGAAGAAAGAAACTCATAAAGGTTTAGAACCACTTGAGGTTGAGTTTATTTTCATTTTTGAGTGAACCAACTATCCCTTTATTATAGGAATTACTAATATTATAATTTTACACACACACACACACACACACACACACACACACACACACACACACACGCACACACGCACGCACACACACACACACAAAAGAAAAAAAGCTAAACACACAAATATATATGTTGTGAATTACATATAACCAAATTGCATAACAATATATTCAAGAGTTTTAATTTTTAACAACCATTGACTTTTCCACCTCGGCCTCACCTGTTTGCTTCTCTCCTCTGCTGCTTTCCTGTCAGTCTCTGCCTGCTCAGCCTGGTCCAGAGCATTCTCCTTATCCAGCTTCAGCATCATCATCTTCTTCTTGACGGCCTCCATCTTGGCGTTGGTGAGAAGGGCTCACGGTCCGAGAAGCAGAAAGTGTCAGTGCAGTAGGTGAGTAGACTCGTGGTCTAGGAACAGGAGCTGGTCAAGAGGGGAATGTGCAGGGAGAGGGAGTAAAGTGGAGAGAGACCAGACCCAGTAAGGGATAGTAAGAGGTCATTTATATCTGGGGGCATCACCCCCCGCCTATTATCGAATATACCACACCCACTTTCCTATTATATCTCACCTAATACAGTCACAAGTCCTGTTTGGTGTGGTGACGTTGTGGCAAAGCTGCAATCCTGTATTGAAATTTGGGAGGGCCTATTTTTGGAAGGTGAAGTTGTAATGTTTTTGTAGTAAAATCAAGAATGTAATTCATTTTAACTGATATATGTATACTTATAAAAGTCAAATATGCATAATGTGTTTATTGCATTCAGATATGGATTACGTAAAGCACGCAGGGCCTAAATTATTAAATTTTCAGCTCAAAGGGTGAAATATAACAAAAAAAGGAGAATAGCTTGCATCACGATCACATTAGCAGTCTAGTTTTACATTTAAATCGTTAAAAGGTGTCATATTTTTTTTATAATTATTAGTTATTTACTTCTTACCTCACACTCTTTGACCGTCGAAAGAAAGCCGGAATTCGTTTGGTGTCCGTGAACAGTGTAGCCCCGCCCACTTCGAGTTGATTGACGTCTCAATTAATTTTAGATTTGATGACCGATTTGATGAACAGTTTTTGTCGTTACTTTTTTATCTCGTAATAAACCCCCAATTATGACTTAAATAGTCAATGTAAGTTCATAATTTCGACGTTTGTATTAAAATACTAACTAGTAAGTCAATTTTGAAATTTTAAATCACTTAAGTCACAATTTCGACTGTTTTATGTTCAATGTTTTCTTTGTATAAGGCAGAAATGGCTTCCACGAACTACAAACATTGCTGCATCAATATTTTTGAGGTATGGCGTATTTAGTTTGTCCACCTGAGTGTTTAATGTAGTATCAGGACTTTAATCAAGATTAAAATTTATTTCAACTGTAGCAACAGCATATAATATACTTAAGAGTTCACTTCTAACTGCTCTAAGTTTATATTCATTCACATCTCTTGATTGTATCCTTCTTTTCTATTACTAGACCATGACATGACAAAGGCTAAAAGAATGGACACCAATGGACAGAGCGGAGGTTTGGCTATAATAAGACAAAGCCAATGTATTTGTGACAGGCACAGGTGTGTTTGTGTGTGTGTGTGTGTGTGTGTGTGTGTGTGTGTGTGTTACATTTCTAGCATCCCCAGCTGCACGGCTCCCTTTATGGCTCGTCAGTCGCCACAATGATCACTTTACAGCCTTTTTTTCTAATGTGAGATACAGTTCTATCATTATCTTGCCTGACCGCGCTTAACAAGGCACTTTATGTGACCGTATTGCCTCCAGGGCTTCTGTATTTGCAGCGTTCACAAACACACTGCCATCTGGATGATTTATTCCTCAATATCTATTTTTATTAACAGAACAAATGGCTTATTGTACTTTTAAGAGTTTTTAGTACTAAAATGTAATCAGATAGTGGCCCAAAATCAACACCTTCATATTTAACGATTTTTCTACCACATCCAACAATACATTAAACAAAACTCATCTCTAATGTGAGCACATAATGGAGTCCTACATTTATATAAATAATATATTACAAATATTATATTAATTAATTCATTTTCTTTTTAGCTCAGTCCCTTTATTAATTTCTAGGGTCGCCAAAGTGGAAAGGGCCGCCAACTTATCCAGCATATGTTTTACGGAGCGGATGCCCTTATATTATAATATTATTGAAGTAATATTAGAAATAATGTCTGATACTTTATTTGCCTTTTTTTGAGGAATCAGTTGATAAATTCTTTATTTTTTAGGTTGCTCTGACTCAAAGCATCTGCAAATAGGATAAATGTTGATCTGAGAATTTATTCCATTCTATTTAATTCTATTTTATTCTTCTATTCTATAATATTTGTGTTTATTTATTTGTTTGTTTGTGCGTTTTTACTGTAGTTTCACTCTTTACTGTCTTTTTAAAGTCTTTTTCTTGTATGATTATGCATATTTTAGAATTAGCATCCTCTATAATATTTGTTTAAATTAAATGTAAATAATAAAAAAACACTTAAATAATAATAATAATAATAATAATAATAATAATAATAAGTAAATAAATAATAAGGAATAAGTAAATTTTGTTCAAAAGTGGTAAAACAAAAACAAACAACAACAACAAAAAATATATAAAACTGGCCACTGTCAATACATAGACTGAAATGTTTTTAAGCAGTAATTCATCCAATTAAAAATGTATCTTTCAGTTTAAAAGTATTTGTTTTATTTTTTATATATTTTTAAGTTCAAAACATAGTTAAATTTACATGTTTTTGATTAAGAGCTCAACTAAGAAATATTTGTTTTGACCAATGTAAAAGTTTAAGATTACTTACACAGGCCAGTGCATGCGTATTAAACAGAAACTCTTTCTTGCACCTAAAACATATTGTTTAAGGCAAATTATTTATTTTTTTATTGGCTCAAGTGATTAAATTTAGATGTGAACCATTACCCTAAATTTGTTTTTAATGTATGAATGAACATTGAGTGAAAAAAAGATTTTTGAAATTGTTGGATATCCTTAATGAAAACCTGCTTCAGAGGGCACTTGACCAGATCAGACTGGGGCGACGGTTCATTTTCCAGCTGAACAATGGCCGAAAGCACACTGCCAAAATTTCAATGGATTAGCTTCACAACAACTTGGTGAATGTCCTTGAGTGGCCCAGCCAGAGCCCAGACCTAAATCCTATTGAACATTTTTTGAGAGATCTAAAAATGGCTGTACACCGTCGCTTCCCATCCAACCTGATAGAGCTTGAGAGGTACTGCAAAGAGGAATGGGCAAAAATTCCCAAAGACAAGTGTGCCAATCTTGTGGCATCATATTCAAAAAGACTTGAGGCTGTAATTGCTGCCAAAGGTGCATCAACAAAGTATTGAGCAAAGGCTGTGAATACTGATGTACATGTGATTTTTCAGTTTTTTCATTTTTAATAAATTTGCAACAATTTCAAAAACTCCTTTTTTCACATTCTCATTATTTTGGGATTTTGGGTGATGAATTCAGTTTGCATGTTCTCCCTGCGTTCGTGTCGTTTTCCTCTGGGTGCTCTGGTTTCCCCCACAGTCTGTAGTGGATGAGAGTTAATGAGTGTGTATGGATGTTTCCCAGAGATGGTTTGCAACTGGAAGGGCATCCGCTGTGTAAAAAATATGCTGGATAAGTTGGCGGTTCATTCCGCTGTGGTGACCCCAGATTAACAAAGGGACTAAGCCGACAAGAAAATGAGTGAAGTAATGAATGAATTTAATCCATATTAATCCATATCAAATTCAAAGCTCTGATGTTTGCCTACAAAGTGACTTCTGGCCTTGCTCCTTCTTATCTGCTCTCACTTCTGCAGATCTTTGTGCCCTCCAGAAACTTGCATTCTGTGAATGAACGTCGCCTCGTGGTTCCATCCCAAAGAGGGAAGAAATCACTTTCGCGAACGCTCACGCTCAATCTGCCCAGTTGGTGGAATGAACTCCCTAACTGCATCAGAACAGCAGAGTCACTCGCTATTTTCAAGAAACGACTAAAAACTCAACTATTTAGTCTCCACTTCACTTCCTAATCTGCAATTGCCTCTCTGGATATCACACTAACTGTACCCAAAAAAAAAAATTACTAATACTACTAATACTTTCTTTCTTAGACTTTACAGACCTGAAACTTGCCTATAGCACTTATTCATTGTTGCTCTTATAGTTGTGTAAATTGCTTCCTTGTCCTCATTTGTAAGTCGCTTTGGATAAAAGCATCTGCTAAATGTAAATGTAAAGCTGTAACATAAAAAATGTGAAAAAAGTGAATGGCTATGAATACTTTCCGGATGCACTGTATGTCTTCTTGTTTAAAAGAGAATTTATATTGACTTTTTTAACAAGACAAATATGCTTTGTAACAGGTTATATAAAATTGTTCTCATGAAGATATAAAATATTGCTTAAGACAAATTATTTATTTTTCATTGGGTCAAGTAATAAAATTTAGATGTGAACCATTACCCTGATTTTTTTTTTAATTGGATGAATGAAAGCTTTTTTCCAGTGTAATACACTCTAATAAAATTAGAATGATCATAATACTTAGCAGCATTTCATTTTATATGAATGGGCAAATAAATCACTAGAATAAACTGAGTCACTCTGGATATTTATTTATTTACTAAACTTGCATTTAAAAACAAACCTTTATATCAAAAAACAAAATTTATCTAAACTTTTTGTGTATCAAGTTTATATTTTCATTTAACTCTGATTTTTCATTACTCATCATCAATATGTGCTTTAGAATCACCTTAAGATTTAGCTTTATCAAATGAAATGAGTGTAGTTCACTTAGAATTGACTTAAAAGTTAATTCTACTCATTTAAACAGAGTTTTGAACTTGTTGAAGGTAATGAGTTAATTAAATACCTCATTACTTTATCTTAAAGGCAGTAAGTTCACAGTTCTCATATAGATTCGTTTTTTAACTCAAATGGTTTGTTGCAATCGGTTTCCTCAAACGGTTTAAGTTGCCTTAACTTAATGGGTTTTACAGTGCTCACTTGGTTTGAGTTCTCTTCACTTATTGAGTTTTACTGTGCTTAAATTGCTTCGTTTACGCAAATGGATTAAGTTCACAATACTCACGAGGATTCGTTTTAAACTTAAATGGTTTGTTGCAATCGATTTCCTCAAACGGTTTGAGTTGCCTTAACTTTAAGGGTTTTACAGTGTGTATTATGTATAGAGTAATTAATGAAAACAATATAATATCAAACAGTATTGACATACTATTTATCTTTAAACTTGTATAAACTTTAATATAATCACAAATCTTCCTATCAATATAGAATGCAGTCGTGTATCAGTATGAAAACAATTAAATATGGAATACATAATGTCAGTATGAAAGCAAACTTTGACTAATAATGATTAGCAGTCATTGGTGTGTGTCTGAAACTGTGAGCTCCACTGAGAGTGCCTGCTGGTGTAAAGAGACAATGCTGGTGTCGGGTTCTAGTGACAG